CTCCTTTGCTGCTGCTGCTGCTGCTGCTGCTGCTGCTGCTTCTGCTGCTGCTGCTGCTGCTGCTGTGTGGCGCCAGGCCTTGAGGCCATGCAGGGCAGCGGCAGCAGCAGCTTGCTGCTGTCTGTCTCCTCTATCTGTCTCCTTGCTGCTAGCAGTTTGTCTCTCTCTTCTCTGCTGCACACAAAGACAACGGCCTCTAACCCACTGCAGCAGCTACCAGCAGCAGCAGCAGCTGCTGCTGCTGTTGCTGCTGCTGTTGCTGCTGCTGTTGCTGCTGCTGCAGCTGTCTCCTCTCCCTCAACAGGTGTCTCCTCCTCTGCTGCTGCTGCAGCGCACGAAGCAACCGCAGGCAAAGCTGCTGCGTTGTGCTGCTGCAGTTGCTCCACTTGCTGCTGCTGCTGCTGCTGCTGCTGCTGCTGTTGCTGCTGCTGCTGCTGCTGCTGCTGCTGCGGCAGCTGCAGCATGACAGCTCTGATAGTTGCTGCGTAATATTTGTTACGGATGCAGCAGAGCCAGGAGACAAGCCCCAACCCCTGTCTCCCTTCTGTCTCCTTTTCTGTCTCCTTTTTTGTCTCCTTCTCTGTCTCCTCTTCTGTCTCCTTTTTTGTCTCCTCTCTCTCTCTTTCTGTCTCTCTCTCTGTCTCTTTTTTTGTCTCCTTTTTTGTCTCTCTCTCTGTCTCTTTTTTTGTTTCTTTTTTTGTTTCTTTTTCTGTCTCCTTTTCTGTCTCCTTTTCTGTCTCCTTGACGGGATCGGATCCCAGCTGCTGCAGCAGCTCGACGGCTAGCTGCTGCAGCAGCAAGCTGCCGCCAAAAGGAGACACCTCAGCTGCTGCAGCAGGAGACACAAGGAACAGCAGCACGGGCAGCTTCTCTGCTGCTGCTGCTCCTGCTGCTGCTGCTGCTGCTGCAGCAGCAGCAGCAGCGGGGGGGTCTCCTTGGGCTTGAGCCATAGAGGCAGCAACAACGCAGGAGACGCCTGCAGCAGCAGCAGCAGCAGCAGCAGCAGCAGCAGCAGCAACAGCAGCAGCAGCAGCAGCAACCGCAGTAGTAGCTGCAGCAGCTGCAACAAGCAGAGACAAAGGAGACAATAGCACGCGGATCACCAGCTACTGTATTTACTTCGCTGCTCTGGCTGCTGCTGCTGCTGCTGCTGCTGTTGCTGTTGCTGCTGTTGCTGCTGTTGCTGTTGCTGCTGCTGCTGCTGTTGCTGCTGTTGCTGTTGCTGCTGCTGCTGCTGCTGTTGCTGCAGCAGCAAATGGGAGGAAGAAGAAGCCCCGGCCTCTGTCCTGTCTTCTGCTGCAGTTCACCAGATA